CCTTCAACTTCTTGGTGGTTCGAAGATGTTGGAGGTACTCTGCAACCACCTGTGGTGAGGACAACGGGGAAGAAGCTATACCCTTCGTCCTGTAGGATGCTTCAAATTCTTCCACTTGTCATCATAGAGAGACCTAGTGGAGGTGCGATGCGCTGTAGTGATGGCCGTAGCGACTCGCTTCGAATATCCCTTGGCAGTCAACGACTTATGTAGATGCGCCAAATGTGAAGATGGAGCGTGAGCGGGGACCAATGCAGGTGATCGGAGTGTGGGTGAACCAGAAGATCGCTGCGATCTGGAAGAGGTACAGGATCGGGCTTGGCCTTTCCTTGTAGATTTACGAACCACCCCATTGCCGGTCAGTAGGTCACGACCAAAGCAGTGTCATCCACTGAGTCGTGCGCAGTTACAGTAGTATGCGTGGGAGAAGGGCCACTGGAGGAAATGCGTACGTGTTTAGGTCGTCCCAATGGATGACGAGAGCGTCGTGATCCGGAGCCAGAAGAACTGGAATTGGGGACATGAACATAGGCATCAGGTGGTTGAAGCAGGTGGCAAAAAGGTCGACTGTCGGAGTCGTCGGCAGAAAACAGAGGGTCTGGAACACCTGTGGGTATAGCTTCCACTCTGTCGGAGAGGGACGACGTGGACGGGACACAAATACGCAATGACATTCTCCACTCCTGGAATAGGGTTGTCCACTGCAAGGTTGAGCTTGTCCACCAACTGGAAAACATAGGAGTCCACTGCAGGAGTTGAGGAGACCCTGTCGACCCCATCTGATTGATGTGCCACACGACTGCTGCATTGTCTGACCGAACGAGGAAAGAGGTCGATCGTAGATGTGCTTGTTCAAAAAGTGATGGATAGAATCACCGCCCTGAACTCTAGAAAGTTGATGTGGGAGGTGCGATCTATGAGAGTCCACCGCCCTGCCACCTGCCGATTGAGAAGAGGAACTCCCCACCCGTGTAAAGATTCGTCCACGTACAGGTGGAACGGCCTTAAACAGATTCCACCGCAGACTTTCGATTCATCCATTCACCATAGGAGATGTGGATGGAGTTCTAAAGGAAGCGTGATCAAGGAGAGCAGGTCGCCCCTCCTGATGTGCGGAGCCAGAAACAACTGCAGCGGTCGGAGTTGGAGTTGACCTCTGAGAGTCAACACTTGGGCAGACGTCAAGAGACCCAGAAGCTCCTGCCATTGACGAAGAGTCCTGGGTTGAGACAACGCAAGGGGAACTAGCCGCTGTATCTTGACAAAGCGGTCTTTCGGTACAAACAGTTTGTTGAGTTCCGTGTCGAACACCGCCCCGATTAACTGCAGGCGGCGAGACGGGACTAGTTCCGACTTCTTGATATTGACCAGCCAGCCTAACTGGTGAAGTAGCTGCGTCGTGAACTTCATGTGACGTAGTAGAAGGGCACGGTCGGTTTGAGCCTGGATGCAGTCGTCTATATATGCTTCGAAGCATATCCCCTTGCGATGGAGAAAACTGGTGATGGACTTCGTCAAACGTGTAAACAGCCACGGAGCCGAAAAAATTCCAAACAGGAGGACATGCCATTGATAATGGGTGCCCTCGAAGACGAAACGAAGAAACTTGCGATGATCCGGGAATATCGGGATGTGGAGGTACACATCCTGAAGGTCGAGGCTGATCATGTAATCCCCCGGTTTGATGATAGTCTTGAGGGGAGCCACCGACACCATGCGAAAGTGAGGCAGAGGTTGTAGAAACATCTCGTTGAAGACCTTCATGTTGACGATGAGCCTCAACTTGTCGGAGTCCTTCTAACGATTGGAGAATAGAACCCTGGGTCAGCAGGGTTCGAGCCCAGGGATTCGATTGCAAGTTTCTGTAGCAACGTCATCTATTGTGGATCGCAGCACAGCCGTCAAGCGAGCGGGATACGTCCTGTGATCCGGAAATAACATGAGAGGAGGATTGCCAACAACCGGGAGTTGATACCCATTGGACAGAGTTGAAAGTACGTAAGGGTCGTCCAAGATGGTCCAGTTGAGGGCATAAGTCCCAAGTCTTCCGCCTACTTGGGATACCTTGATAGGAATGACTGGAGGCAGAAGGATCCAGTCTCGCTCTGATATCATCAAGTTACTGTTTGCCTGGTCTCTGTGTGGAGGACTGATCATCAGCGTAGGTTGGTCTGGAAGACATGAAGGATCGGCGCTGATGGTTGCCACGACCTCTGCCAGACCCTCTTCCCCGAAAGAAAGGAGGAACACCCGAACGCAAAACTGGATTCATTGGGACATAGCGCGCTGGTCATCGCTGATGTAACGAGTCCTCAACCTGCATTCGCTAGAATTTCAACAGTTCCACCAAGACTTGGAGATGAGCGTCTTGTCCGACCTTGGAGGCGACATCTCTGATGGTTCTGTTGAAAGGGGATCTACCCGACCAAGGCTGGCGAAAGACGTCTGTCCTGACTCATCTGTCTTCCCATGAAGACAAGTGCAACGGGCCCCTACGACGCATCGCTGTGATGTAGGAGAAGATGTTAGCCAATTGATCCAGGATAATCTGAAACTGATTCCTGCAGTAAGACCATCGCGGCCCAAGTGTATGCCTGGTGAGGTGAAGTCGCATGAGAGACCGACATGGCCACCACTTCAGTTGCCGTCAGGACAAGGTTGAATGGAGCCAGAATCTTCCTAACCGATCAGTCCAGATGCGCCAACTTGCAGTCTTCCACCAAGAAGGGAGAGTAGGCCCTCTGTTTAGAAGCCAGCAATGTGATGTCGTCATCTACCAAAGGGGAGGTAATCAAGGTGGAAAAGCCATGGACATGAGAGGACGCCAAGTTGAAACGGGGCGTCGCAAAGCCATCCTATATCTTCCTAAGATTGTCGGAAGCCTCGTCCAGGGAGTTACGTGATGCAGGGACGAGGAGGAAAGGTGATGGAGCCAAAGTCCCCGGTCTCATGTCAAAGCTGGATAATAAGTCTTCCCGAGATCTGCTGCGAGGTAACTGGAGATTATCCGCAATCCAAACTAACAGTTGGGGCGCGTCGACAGCATCAATGCTCACATCAGAGAAGGAGGATCCATCTAAAATAAGCGAAGGCATGGCTGACGGAGGAACTTCCTCCACGGGTCGAAGCGGAACGGTCAAAGGGCCAGTTGGCTGCACAGACGAGGAAGGTACTGAAACTTCTTGACCCAACGCTGAAGCCACCGCCTGAACAATAGCATTAAAGTCCATGTGGTGAGATGCTGCACTATCAGTAGACGGGTCCCAGGATACTGGTAGGATAGGTCTGGTCCTAGTTCCAGGCAGAGTAGAACCCGGAGCAGACAAAGAAGAGTGATGTACAGATCCACTATCAGCTGAAGAGGAGCCTGCAGGTATAGTAAAATTCTGTTGATGAAGAGATGTGAGCAGACCAGTCGAAGGAAGCGTCGCACTGGGAAACAAACCCAAACCTGCTGTAGGTGGTCCGCTTAAAACAACAGTAGAGATGGTAGAAAGCATCACTCTCGTGGAGGTAACTCCCCCTGCTGCAGAAGAAGACGATTGCAGTGCTGCACCTGGAGGATAAGGAAATGTAGACAAAGACGGATGCCCAGGAAATAACGGCCAAGATGAGCGTTGACTGTGAGTAAGCGCCGAACTGGTAGCAAGCTACCAACTGGTAGCAAGCTGTTTAATGATGATCAAGCGCTGAACCGCCAGTAAGCGTTGAACTGGATGCAAGTGCCGAACTGGGACCAAATGCCAAACGGGGATCAAGCGCCGAACTGGGGCAGTAAACGGTGAACTGGAGGCAAGCGCCGAACCGGTGATATGCGGCGCTCTGGTAACAAAAGTCGAACTAATAGGAAGTGCCGGGAGGGATTGACACACTGGATGCAGTCACCAAGCTCAAAGGAAACAGCGAACTGAAAAATGTTGGTGTCCCGTAAATAAGAGGGACAACATACGGGATCGAAGTTGGCAAACTTGTAGAAACCACAGGCTGATAGTCAAGCGCCAAACCATGAACGATCATCACTGAAGTAGAGCGAAGCGGCGCACTGGATACAAGCGGCGCACTGGTAGACAACGTCGAACAAATCAGTGAGCTGGAGAGAGCCACACCTACAGTAAGCGGCGCTTGCGAGTGAGCGCCAGCCAATCCAAAAGCCGTACTGGAAGCCACGCCCCTCGAAAGACTAGAGCCTTGTGGGACTGTCACTAGGGAAGCTGGACCGCCTTGTGTGGTAGAGGTAGATATTACGACTACCCTGGATGAAGAACGATCGCCAGTGGTTACGGGACTGAACAACTGGGGACGAAATAATTGGCGTAAGTTCTCACTGAGGTAATAGTCTGACGCATCGTCCAAAACTCTTTGTTAGGTGATGGAGTATGAGAGCGACGCACTGCAGTTTTCTTACGTCGATCAGGCTTAGACCTTTTCTTAGAAGAAGGACCCTCGGAGGGTGTACGACAATCTCGGTCAGCAGTCCTCCTGGATGCTACCTGTCGATATACTGAGAAGGCGTCGTCATCCAAGCCAGCACAAAAATGACATCGTTGTGCCTAGTCGCAACAACCTAAGCAGTCTACGCAAAGAGAATGCGGGTCTGCTGCAGAGAAATTACTCCTGCATCTATCACAAAACTCCTGTTGTTACATGAATCTTTTTCACTCATCTCGCAGTCAGAAAGTCAAACTTCCAATGAACAAACACACACATCTTCCTAAAGGAACGACAGCAGGAAAAGAGAGGTGAGAGGCAGACGGCTAGAGTTACCTGCTCTTGGCTGTAGGGGGCCCTGAGGGGCCCTGTAGGGGTGGTCTCACAAGACAAAAAATGTGTTTTTGTTTTGTAAATATTTTAAAAATATAGTTACAACTGTCGTAGGTTTCAAAATGGAAATTTTAATGCTTTTATGTACCCCAAGGAGGACTTCTTCTGAAAAAGAATATAAACTATATTTGTCAAAGAAAAAGAACAATCCTTTCACACCAAATGTATGATATAATTACCTGTGTCACATGTGCCACCCATGAAGCCCTTCTCACAACCTTGCACACACAGCCCTGAGCTCTGGTCACAGTCTCCTTCATAACATCCATCTGAGCAGGTTTTGGTGCAGTGGGATCCATACCAGCCTTTCAGACAGCCTAAATTACAGGAACCATCAACCTGAATACACTGTCTGTCATTTGATTCTCTACAATTTAAACTACAGTTCCGGTCGCAGAAGTTCCCATGTCTACCTTTCTGACACCCATAGTTGCATCTTCCTGAGTTCTGCTCACAGATATGACCATTACATGTTTTACTGCAGTTTCGGGTAACATATCTCACCATAATGTCCAGCTGTGCACCCATCTAGACATCTGCCACTATTCTGGTCACAATACACATAGTTGTCTATACCTTCACGTGGTTTTACAGTCTGTGGGACACCTGACATCACACTTGGAACCACGGAATCCTGGTAGACATCCTTCCACACAAACTCCTGTAACTTGCTTGCAGTTCCCTCTGCACAGTTTGGACATTCTCTCCGACATCTGTCACCAAACCAGCTTGGTTTGCATTCAGTGCAGGTGGTTTCGTACATGACTTGCAATTAGTTGGACATGCAGTTTTGCATTTCGACCTTTCCAGCCATCCACACATCCATTTGTACAGGTTCCATCTTTGTCGTTACAAGTCTGATCTCTACAGGTATTACTACAATTCTGATCACAACTGCTCCCATATACTGTGTCACTACAACCATTGAAGCAAGCTCCATCACTGAAGTTACAGAACTGATCCCCGGAGTCAAATGCCTTGCACCTGTACCCACAGGACGACTGACACAGGGGGCCATAAAAACCAACTTGACATGATGTACACAATCCTGTGTCCTTCTGACAGCCATGTTCACACTTAGCTGGACAGATCTTTCTGCAATCATCGCCATGGAAACTCTCCTCGCACACAATACAGGAATCATCTGTGCAGTTATAGCAGTGATCTGGGCATTGCTTCTGACAGTAAGATCCCTTCTTCCCATCAACACACCCATCAGTACATTCAGGAGATCCAGTTGAGTCCATGACACAATGACTGTTGCTGCAGTTAGAACTACATTCCTTGGTGCAGTTAGTTCCATACCATGTGTCCTCAAGCAGTCACTGCAGAGTCCAGATGTCTGGTTACATACACTGTCCCTACAATGTGTATTACAGAGCTTGTCACACTTAGCACCATGATATCCTGGTTTACAGCCTCTTTCACAGTGTCCTGATGCTTGTTCACAGGAACCGTTAAAACAGTTGGAGCAAGATTTGGTACACTTGTCCCCATACCAGCCTAGCTTGCAAACCGCCTTTACACTTCCCTTTTCTCTCACAGCCATTCAGACAGTTGTTGCAGGACTTACTACAAAACCGGCCCATACCATCCAACAGAACAGACCCTACATTTACCACTACTTCTGTAGCAGGAACCCTCACAGTTAGGGCTACAGATAGAGGTGCAGTCTTCTCCATGTCTTCCTGACACACAGTTGTTACAATAGCCAGTCTGATTACATCGCTTTCTTGTCACAAAACTCACTACAGCTATCAGTGCATGTGTTCCCATAGAAGCCACTTGTACATCCAGCTTGACAGACACCAGAACTGGTACAATTTTGCTTTTTACACTTTGTGCACTGTTGGTCACACTTGGGGCCATACCATGTACTTTTACAACCAGACAGACATGTCTTGTCATCGGTACAGCTATGAAGATCGCAGTTCTCACAGATTATTTCTTTAACATCACATTTATCACCCACCCACATAGGTTCACATCCATCAAGACATTCTCCACTATCTATGTCACAAGTTTTGTCCATACAATGTTCTGAGCATCTCTTGAGGCATTTCCTACCATAGAGTCCATCTTTACACGCCTCACACTGTCCAGACCAGCGATTGCACATGACACAGTTACTGCTGGGGCATCTCCGGCTACAGTTGAAGCCATAGTTACCATCTAGACAGGTCTGTGGACACTCAGTGGGCTTCTTGTCCTCACACTGGCCATTGTTGTCACAGCGAGACACACAGGGCTTACACTCTGGTCCATAGTAGCCATCACCACACGCTGTGTCTGGGGACGCACAAGATATATAAATGTAACTTGACAATTCACATATATCATCCACAAATAAAATAATCTAACACTACCTGCAGCACAATCACAATTTATTTGTGAAAAAACACATATGTACCTTCATGTCTTTTTCTTCACTGCTCATGACTGCAGAATGTCTCCATACATTGTAATTTGGCCAATTGCTCCACTTATACTTTAACCATGGTCTTTTTTCAACTTGTGCATACATTAGTATCAAGCTCACTATGATCAGTTCACTACTTCCAACATGTAAGTACAATAACTGTACAGATATCTGTATACTTCAGACAGGGTGGTGGGGTAGCCTAGTGGTTATAGTGTTTGCTCATCATGTGATGTGACATTTGCAACAAAACAGGGTTGAAAGTCTGCAGGAAAACTGGAGGGATTATTCTTCATGTTTATGGATTAACTAAACATTTGAACTGCAATATACAGCAATACAAGATGTATCATTTTGATACATTTTGTGATGTTGGGAGCTAAATGCTGTATTTTGATATGTTTTGTTATATACTAGGATCTAAAGTTCAATGTCATTGGCATATAGTCAAAATATATTAAGTCTCATTAGTTTTTGTATCACTCAACATGATCGACTGCACATAGTCCTGTTTTCATTGTAATAGTGAACATTTTACCAGAAAGGTGTTAATGGTAGGTAACCAGGGCTGACTTACCTGACTCGCAGATCTTGCAAGTCTTCTTACAGTGGATGTATGCATTGCTTGATGCACTGAGAGGGTAGCTGCAGATTGTCCTTGCGTTGTCTCCACAATACCCCACCCAGTTAGCTGTATCCTCACATGGACTGACAGCCAATACTGAAACAGCAGTCATAGTAACAGAAACCTATTAGAGATAGGCAGGGCTCTTCATAAGACTCACTATCATAGGTAAATCAAGGCTTAAACAACCTTCTATTTCTAATAATATTATTGAAGTGGATACTAAAGCGACCAGTGATTTAAAACTTTAAAAATGTCAAAGAAACAAACACCAAGAATACATATTAATCAACATTATCACTAAATGAACAATGAAACTACAACACAGTCAAGAAAATTTGAATAATTTGTCAGGTAACAAATAAAATGCAATCGACATCAAGATTATAATTCTTACATCTTCATAATTTACAGGCGTTTACATGTAAATATGATGAAAGTGTTAACAAAATGAACAAATTACTCTATGCCTAACAACAATAATTTCACAATAAATACCTTGTATGACTTGAATCCCCAAGAGCACCACACACAGCACACTGGCCATGGTTACATTATACTCCATACACCAGCACACAATCAGTCTAACAAGGAATGTTTAGTGTAGGAAACCCTTCATTAGGGAGTGTGAAATACTCGTGAACCATGGAGTCAGAGGTTCCATACTTGTGGTTCCGTCTATGCATCACCTCTTCCTGTGTGTTGTTTGGAGTGTGACCACACATCCTGAAATATGACACACAGAGGAAGATAATGTCAACTACATGTATGCTACAACAATTCTCAATAAGTTCAATGTTTCCCGCTGCACAAGCCTGATGAACAGAGGATCCAGTGTCAAGTGAACACTTGTGTATAAATATATTTCAATATGAGCGGACTGACTAAGTAAAACCAAAAAGTGAATTTATTACAGCAATGATGACATGGAATTAAAGGATAGCTTAATGTTGAAAGTATAGAGAAATTCTACAACTACTCATAGTCAGATCCAGAAGAATGGGGTTGGGGGTGGGGTGTGTGTGTGTTGCAGGGGTCAAATGCCAGGGTCAGTACATTATCTACTTTTCTGTTTCTCCTTATACTTTGTCCAACAATTGAATGTTATGTTAAAATCCTTAGTTAATCTGTGTAAGTACTGTCATAGAATATGGACTAGTCAGTGATATTTTGTGCCTTTAGTCAGTTAACAATGAACAGTAATATTCATCGGAGTTAAATCAGAAAAATGGATTTTAAAGAAGATTTTGCAATATTTATTCTGCTCCTGCTTTTTATGGAAATTATTTGCATTTTGACAAATGATACATACAAATGATTTTGACAAATGATCCATACAAATGATGCACAAATAGGTCTGGATAATAGTTTGCTGGTTAGCACTGATACTTTCTACTTGAATTCGTTATGACAATATCAGTGCAAACGTGTCTCATTCAGAGCAGAAGGCTTGAATTTGATAATTCAATTGAACAAATCTAAATTTTCGCGAATATGTCTTTGTCATAGGTCAATCGGTAATTAATAACTCTAACAATAAATACACCAAAACACAATTCAAATGCTTACTGCCGTTAAGATATTCAAATATGCATCTGCTAAATATCACCATAAGGTTGGAATGGTGCAAATTAACTCGGCGTTTGAGTTAAACGCACAACCCAGTCTCAACTTTCTTTTATCAACACCAGAGATCAAAACACCGAAAACATCCCTCCCATCTGAGTAACACCGGGGCGGAAATTATTACTGCATTCTTGGCATATGACGTTTTATTAATACTAGATTACCTATATGCGACGAAAATGCGACCAAACCTTACAGCTGTAACAAGGAAGTTTTACGCTCGTGTGCTTGTCACTTGTGAACATTGCTGACTGCGTTAAGAAGAGCGACCCAGATTTCAAAGCTCCATACAGGGGAATGGAGGTAGCCAAAATCATGCGAAGAGCTTCGTTTAAAACGCAAAGATCGAGGTGGTAAAACCATGCGATAAGTGGTTCTGTTCAAACAGATGTGTATTCACAGTTTGAATGAGTCATTACTATTTTTTATGAAATACGAACATAACCAAGAGTCACAGTCCAAGCAAGTTTGATTCATGTCCTTCCAAATTCTCTTGGTTTATTCTAATGTATATCGAGCCGTCACTATCGTCACACATGGGGTTAATTACAACGTCTAGACGGGGGATCAATCTAGCATTAATTCTCAAAACGTCACAAGTATGTCATGTATGAAGTAAATAACTAACCGATATGCATGTCCTGTTTCTGTTAATGCATTTTCTAATATAAACTGTAAAAGTCGGAACGTGGAAATGTTCGGAATGTTGATGGAGAGAGGGTGCGTCTCCATGCATGGGCTATATAATGCACTGGATAATGGACTACAAGAGCATGTTTATGTAAACATATATACAGCTATATGTTAATGTTCAGTTTTAAACTTCTAATCATTAGCGATACATAATACCGTTGTTGGCTAATATGTATTATATATGTTTGATTTGAATTAGATATGTTTGTTGTTTAACGCCGCACGCCGCAATTTTACACCTTATATGACGGCTGTCCGTAAATAATCGAGTTTGGACCGGACGATTCAGTGAGTGACATCATGAACATCATTTCTCACAAGCTCAATACGACCCGTGAAGATCCGGGGTAGAATAGGTCTTCAGCAACCCATGCTTGCCACAAAAGGCGACTATGCTTGTCGTAAGAGGCGACTAACGGGATCGGGTGGTCAGGCTTGCTGACTTGGTTGACACATGTCATCGGTTCCCAATTGCGCGGATCGATGCTCATGCTGTTGATCACTGGATTGCCTGGTCCAGACTCGATTATTTACAGACCGCCACCATATAGCTGGAATATTGCTGAGTGCGGCGTAAAACTAAACTCACTCACTCACTCACAAGCTCGATACAATGACATGCAACCAAGTCAGTAAGCCTGATCACCCGATCCCGTTAGTCGCCTCTGACAACGAGTCGATAATATACATCTACACATTATGTGTTGGCTGATGCAATCTCTTGTGAAATTACAATATCGGCTTAGAGAAATCTGCACTAAAAAATACATGTTTTGGGACCGGATTTGAGTGTCGAATTTGGAATAGAGTGATGTTGGATTAAAGGGAGTTTCTTATATGATATTATATAGGGACAAAGTCGGGACTAATTATATATGTCGGTTTACAGGGAATACCGGATTAGAGGGATGTCAGTTTAGAGGGAGTCCACGGTATATGTAAATAGGTACACACTATAAAGTCATGTACATATTTTTCATTGTAGCGAATTATGTTAAAATGCTAAATAGTTACCTTGCAGTCTGTGTCCTAAAACTAATCATGCACATCTTTCTTAGCAGGGTGTTACATTGCTTGGTTGAGTGTTACACTACACCGTCGTGTGTTACATTGTTCGGTCGTGTGTTACATTGTTCGATCGTGTGTTACATTGTTCGGTCGTGTGTTACATTGTTCGGTCGTGTGTTACATTGTTCGGTCGTGTGTTACATTGTTCGATCCTATGTTACATTGTTCGGTCGTGTGTTACATTGTTCGGTCGTGTGTTACATTGTTCGGTCGTGTGTTACATTGTTCGATCCTGTCTTACATTGTTCGATCGTGTGTTACATTGTTCGATCCTATGTTACATTGTTCGGTCGTGTGTTACATTGTTCGATCCTGTGTTACATTGTTCGATCGTGTGTTACATTGTTCGATCGTGTGTTACATTGTTCGGTCGTGTGTTACATTGTTCGGTCGTGTGTTACATTGTTCGGTCGTGTGTTACATTGTTCGGTCGTGTGTTACATTGTTCGGTCGTGTGTTACATTGTTCGATCCTGTCTTACATTGTTCGATCCTGTGTTACATTGTTCGATCCTATGTTACATTGTTCGGTCGTCTGTTACATTGTTTTATCGTGTGTTAGATTGTCAAAAATTAGTTACGTGTTTATGCCGTACATGTATTACTTTGTTTAGCATTACTCCCTGTCCCTGCCCCATGTTAAGTCGTGGCTGTGTTACATTACTCGGTCGTGACGTGCGTGCTTGTTTCATGCGTTATGTTATGGGTATCTGAATCTGTATGTTTGTGGGTATACAATGTATGATTATAATTCATGTACATGTATGTATGTATGTATGTATGTATGTATGTATGTATGTATGTATGTATGTATGTATGTATGTATGTATGTATGTATGTATGTATGTATGTATGTATGTATGTATGTATGTATGTATGTATGTATGTATGTATGTAGAACAGAACAGAACAGAATTTTATTTCAGTAACAGGCCTCCGGCCCAAAATACATGTACATAAATTGATGATAAGTAGAGCACATATATATTTCATTTAGATTTGTGTTTCTTGTCAACAAAGTATAAAAATAGACATACATCCTTGATAATATTAACATTTTTACTCTGTAATATTGATATAAAATTAATAATTGATGGACATTTACTAAAATATTTTGATATGTACTTATTTCTGATATGAGAATATGCATCACAGATATAAACACATGCCATTCATCTTCAACAACGAAGATACCATTTAATTTACAAAACAGGCAATGCCTTTCATTATATGCAACATCAGTTTATCTGCCCGTTTCAACTGCTAGTTTAAAATTACAGCACAGAAATCGGGCATATATATTTTTTAAATATTGAGGGATATCCTTTTTTATCAAGTTACTCTCAACATTAAACAAAGATATGAATTGCTTATAGTAAAGACATTTACAGTTACTGTCCAAAGATGATTGCCAAGATTGAAATAAATTATCATGTAGTCTCTGTTTAAATGATTCCATAAATATTTTGTGATCACCAATTTCCTGACTTATCCAAACAAATCCAAAACCAAATTGAAAAAGAATATTTTTAATTCTAGTTGCCCATGAATTTCGTCCTACCCTGTCTAAAGATAATAGCATAAAATAACATTGTTTTGGTAATCTATAGTCAGGCATGTTTAGAAGTCTGCACCAGTATTTCACTGCATTGGTTGTATAACTAAACTGTAATGGCACTCTTCCACATTCACCCAAGACCATATTGTTACAGGTGGATTTTCCAAGTTTCAAGACATATTTACAGAATTTAATATGGACAGATTCAATAGCATTACAGTAGGATGTGCCCCAGATTTCAGACCCATAACAGAGAATGGGTGATATCATACAATCAAAGATTTTAAATAAATCTGTACAATTAATGCTGCCAAGTTTCCTTTGGAAATTGTTAACAGGGAATATTGCCTTACTAGCTTGTGATGCAAGGCACGATGTAGCTTTACTCCAGGATAATTTAGGAGTGAACATAATTCCAAGGTACTTATAAAAGGATACAGTTTCAATAACATTGCCATTATGAAACCACTTTTCATATGAGCGCAAGGGACCACCATTTCTAAAAACAATAATCTTAGTTTTCTTTAGATTCACGCTCATACCAGTTTGCTCACAAAATTTACCAAGTACATTGATCCTTTTTTGCAGCTGTGCACAGGTGTCAGCTATTGCTGACACATCACCAGCAAACATAAGAGAGCAGAGATTGCTAATAGAAGAAGAAACTGTAATAGCTTGACCTCCTTCCAACTCCATAAGACTGCATAGCTTATTTATGAAGATAATAAAAATCTGAGGGCTCAAAACACAGCCTTGGCGAGTACCGATTTTACAATAAAACTATTTGATACATCCTTAGATGTCCTGACTGAAGCTGATAAAGAACTAAACATAGAAGTTAACAGCATAAGAAATTTACCTTGTATACCGGCTTCATAAAGTGACTTTAGAAGAACATCATGCTTTAGAGTATCAAAAGCCTTGGCAAAATCTACAAAGAGACAATAAAATCTACCCCTTTTTTTGCTAGTATATTTTTGAATTAACGACTGCAATGAAAAAAATTGGTCAATTGTTGAATAATCAGCCCTGAAACCAGACTGTGATTCACTGGTAATATCATGAAGTTCACACCATCGCTGGAGGCGGCGATTAAGAATTGACATAAACACTTTACAAGTAGAATCTATGAGAGAAATTCCTCTGTAATTATTAGTATCATTTCTACAACCAGACTTATGAACAGGACAAATAATGCTTTTACCCCAACAAGATGGAAATTTACCACTATCAAGAATATGATTAAAAAGCTGAGTAAGATATGGTACAATGAGATGACTAGAAGCCTTTAAGAATTCATGTATGTATGTATCTATATATGTACGTGTGCTTGTATGTACATATGTATGTGTGTTTGTACGTACGTATGTGTTTGTGTGTGTGCACGTGTGCGTGTGTATATATGTGTGTGTGTGTGTGTGTGTATATGTAGGTACGTGTATGTGCGCGCGTGTAGTATGCGTCTTTGTATGCATGTGTGTGTGTTGGTACGCGTATGTATGCGCGTGTTATATGTATGTTTGTATGTATGTATGTGTGCATATATGTTTGCGTGTATGTGTATATGCGTGTGAGTGTACGTGTGCATGTTATATGTGAGTAGGTAGGTAGGCAGGTATGTGTATGTGTGCGCGTGTAGTATGTGCGTTTGTATGGGAGTGTGTATATGTGTTTGTGTGTATGTATGTATGTTAGTATTTATGTGTGTAGAAGTATATTTATATGTTTGTATGTATATTTGTTGTATGTATGTATGCATACCT